TCATCAGAAAGCTCGCATTTCGTGATTATCCTTAGCTAAACAGGAAGAACAAAGCGTTGGGTAGAACTTATTGCTGTTCTTGCACTAAAAAATGGCACAGTCCAAGCAAATTAATTGAATAAGAAAACCCAGGTTAGAACGCACTAGGCAAACCGGTGCGTCCATGCGTTTTCGCGTTAAACTTTGAAATACCCCCGTCAAATTTCCCCGCCCCTGCCCCACCTCTCTACCCGTTGTTTCCGCCTCTCCCCCCCTCCCCTGCGCCGCCCCCACCCTCGACATGCATCTTTTCGAAGCGGCGATATTGGACTGCAATATACAGTGCAGTTACAAAGCGGTACTCTGTGAGTACGGTACGATGCGGTACAATGCGGTGCACAACCCCCCGCTGAGCAGCTAGACTCTGTTCACTTCTGTGTTTGTTTGGTTCGTGGTTGGCAGTGGTTGTCCTTGGTATTCGGATGGGGGGGATCGGTGTTGTTTCGATCCTCGTTTGTGCTTGGCATATGCAGATGTTAAGGGGAGAGGAGGGGTGCGCCTTCTATGATTGTTCGGGGAGAGGGATACCGTAGTGTTTTGTGCAGGATAGGAACAGCGGTGTCCCTCTTGGAACAGCCACGGCACTCGCCTCCCAAAAATAACTACGTAACTCACACCACGAAATAGCCACGAGGCCCACTTTCCGGAAGAGTAGTTGGATTGGGAAGGCGATTTTGCGGCTGTTCTGGGGTGGATACCTTTTGGCGGATCCAGGGGGAGGGGGCGAGAACCTTTCACCGTTAGGGCCTCAAGTAGCAGCTGTTTTACTATAGAAAACTGATTTTACCGGTTTTAGCATCTGTTTTGCCGGTTTTTTTGCATGAAGTCCGGTCGTTTTTTCTGTAAATGCTCGCTTTATGGAAAAATAGCAAATGCAAATTCTTTGAAAAAATGCAAATTTCCAGTCCACTAAAAATTGGAAGTATTGCTCGAGCGGTGTTTGTCAAAAAATCCATGTATGCAAATTAACTAATGCTCATTTGCATATACGATTGCGGTTCGGGTCCGGGTTGCGATGAATTTCTTAACGATTTTTGGGCAGAGGAGCTGCTTGAGGCTGTGGTTGGGGTGTTCGACAGCTAAGTTTAAAATCTTTAGCTCGCAAGCGCATAGAGAATATCTCTGCAAAGTTTCAGCTTCCTATCTTGCCTGGTTCGCGAAATCGTTTTCCGCCAACATATTTTTTGGGGGAGTGGAGGGAGATGGCCGTACGCGGAGTCTAGGCACGTATGGGGAAAGATCTTAAAACGGGAGGATAACACACAAGGTAGGAACGTATATCCGAAGTTTCAGCCTCCCAGCTTTCCTGGTTGCTGAGACGAAAGTGGGTCACAAAATGCACTCGCTTTCCGAACACACACACAGGCAGTCTCTCTGGAATATGCGTTTTTGCTGGCTGTAGAAGTGGTATAGCGCTATAGCGCTGCTACAGCGCTGTACAGCAAAAATGCATAAAAATAATTGATGATAATCTATTTAAACTTGTGACTGGAAAAATTTACTTATTGATATCAGCCCAGTAGAGCCTCTGTTCTCTAAAATCAACAGTGAGTGCAGCAGGCAAACTTATGCTTTCTTTCAGGATCACCTGTCGGCTTCCACC